CTTACGACACATAGGTAATACACATTGCAAATATTCAGCTTTATATATAGAATATTGAGTAGAAGATATTCAAAAATGTCTCAAGAAATAATCGAAGAAAGGGAAATTCTGAATTTTTTCTAAGAAAAATTCTTATGCTTATAAAACCTTACCTGTGCATGTTGTTGCCTATGCTGTACAAAATTCGCTTCGCTAACTGTTCGGAATGAGCACTGAGTGCAGGAGAAGTGCTTTGCACCAAGTGGAATAGGATCAGAAGTTTGAAAACTTCGTCGTCCCAAGCCACGCCTCCTAAAATGAAAACAAAATTATAGAAAAATGCGCACCTACACAACTGTTTTGAAATACACTTGGTAAAAGAAAACAACTTATAAATTCATAAAAAAGATGTGAAAGATAAAATTTCATCCAACCTCTGTATCATAGCGCTTGCTGGACTGAGAGGCGGTAGATGTAATGAGAGATGCCAATGAAGAGCTTCAGCGGCAAAACAGCTACAAAGAAAAAAATTAGAAGAAATAAAACCTCCTCGAACAGATTTGCAAATCCTCTGTTAAACTAGCGCAAAAACCTATAAAAATCTTGTTTAAGCTTACCTATAATTGCATAAATTACAGGCATAAGCTCGCGTACGTCCACCATGCATTTCTCTGTGCATTTTGAATATCAGCTCATCTGATTCCACAAATGGACAATCAGGACATTGCCTTCGCTCTAAATAAGAGTAAAATCGGGTAAATTCTTTAGAGGCTGCGGAGCAAAGGTCATGTACCTTCATTTCTGTTATCTCGTTTTAGCACAGGAAGCACTTCCTTCGTAGGTCGCATAAGCTTCACGGCGTCTACTCTGATGGACAATGGCTTTCTAAGGTCACTTCTGGTGCAAATGCCATTTGTGGCAGGAGCTGCTTCCTGGTCTTTGCTCCTAAAAAGTGCGATGTGGTTACTGATGGTTGCAAGTCACATGTTTAGCGCATACTGCAAAGTATCAAATGCAGAAGATTGTGTGATTGCACATTACACATGAATTGTAGCAAATGGTGACGTAAACTTGACAAAAACTACAATTTTTCCCAGTGCACTTGAATGACGCAAGTTTTCTGCAGGAACGAAGGCGCGTGGCCATATAAGATGAGGACGCGGACGCGCTGCGCGGCCAGCATATGGTAGTTAATACGCCTCATGCGCTCTGTGAGTAATAAAACCGCGCTCGCGATCATGGTGCGACCTTCTTTCGGCAATAGACCTTACACTTTCATATAGTATATTCTGCACAAACACAAAATTTTCAAGATAAGAATATATCAATCAATTTAAACACTTTGGCTCACTTCTCTACAACTCCCTGCTTCTGTGAGTCCGGACTCGACGATTTTTCACTATCAGATTTTTGCAGCACATCTGCCGAAGGAGCTGGACTTGGAGTAGGGCCTGTATCCACAGCACTGCATGGTTCACTGTGAACCACCATGTGGTCTTCCAAGCATAGTTCGGATCCAGTGCTGAAAAATTTTGAAATATTTCGAGAAATAGTAAAGGATGTATTTGCGGACTTGCATGAATGCTCCCTATTACTATAGCTGCACAATTGCGCTCTTTCCGCCAGTTTTGCAACTGGCATTTTCTCCGACAAAGCAGTGACTGTGCTCTGCGCCGCAACGCTAGCAAGTCCGCAAATGCAGAACTTACTCCTTTGCACCAAACTAAGCAACTAAGCAACTAACTACTCTAGCTACTACTGATAGACATACGCACCTGAATGTGCATTTGCTACATACAAACTTTGAAGTTTTCTTATGCTTCTGCTTGTGATTCCACATTCTCTGGTAGATGTTTGTCTTGAATGGACATACACTAAAAAGCTCATATGAGCTTGGCGAAAAAAGAATAACCAAATTTGTCCATTTTCATTTACTTCAAAATCTAGATAAATGATTTCATTACGTAGTATCTGAGGGTGTTTCACCTAATTTGAAGGTTGACTCAATATAACATAACAATCAGAGTCTCCCGCATGGACTTTATAGCACTAATAGCTCTTATTTCGTCCTTATCAGCTTTTTGATAGGCATGGGATGCCGAATCCAGCAAA